CAACAGTCTCTTTACACATGCTAGTTCTCTAGTAGATGGGTTACTAACACGAGCATTTTCTGTGCGGCATCTCTGCCTTTTGTCACCCGAGGTAAAATATCAGAAAGAACTAGGTAATACTTGGAAAGTTTTGATTAGGACTTTGGAAGACAGAAGCTGACATCCCTTTATACAAATCTGAAGGGGAAAAGAATATCAACTCAGCTCATAAATATTTCACAGCTAGGAACTTCCCGAAGATACTTTCAAAGACTGCTATTCCGTAAGGATTGAGAGCAAGGCCCGAGAAGGGGGAGATGACTCAAGACTGTATTAAAAGTGGTAGCTGTATACATAAAACAAATGTTTAATGGAGTAGTCAGAAAATAAAGAGGCCTGTAGACTATCCAGTTCACAACGGTGGCCCAGGCAGATTGAAGCCAAAGAACATCTCTGTCCACGGGTTTCTAATGGGCCATCACGATACCCAAGTAGAGAAAGACATCTGGTTTCTCTACCACGTTCCAGGATGCCACTGTGAAAGTCAGACAGTCTAGGGGAAGTGGGGGTAGTTGAGACAAGCTCGCTGTGACTCTTACATTCATTATCTTACTCATTATTTTTCATGAAATTTTAGTTCTTGCATTAGCACCTTGTCCGCAGCATTCACAAGAGCAGACCACTACATGTTAAAGATAGACAATCTGTCTTACCAGGATTAAAATCTCAAGAGTTGCTGACTTGCAGTACATGCAGTGGAGGTATCCAGTGTATAGAGATTCCATTTGATATGAATGCATGAAGTTGCTAATTTAAATTTATGCAAAACATATAATCTAGGGGTGACGACCCTCAACTGTACTGGCCATGAACTACTATGAGACCGTCGGTTCGCAGGTATAAGCGGCCCATGTTTCAAAGCCCCTTGAAATCTGGCTTTCACTGCAATATTTAACACTTTCTCTGCTCTCCTAATATAGTAAGGCTATGTCAGACTACAAGTTCAGGACCTTCTTCTCCAAGAGTCTTTGTAGGACATCCAATTTACAGTGATGAACCAGCAGTTTTTGGAACAAAAGAACATCTTTGCTGATAGCTTTCTAATGGCTCAAATGGAGTCTCTACATGTGTGATGCATTTGGTATGATAGATAATTTTATAGTGGATAATTTTGTGTTGTCTTAACTAACTCTGTAGTACATATGAATGATTGTAATACCTCTCATCAACCCCAGTGTTCACATCAGTGCCAGGAGGATGCAGGATAAACCATTCATTCACTGAAGGGCTAGATCTCCAGATCCTGATGCAAAACCCATCACATAGACTTGTCACAACACAGACCAGGGGCACACACAAAATGGTGAGCAACACACACGGGCTGCTACATCACTAGAACCTGGAGTAAAGTTAAATTCACGTTGGCTCCCAAATGCCCCTTCACTCAGCTCCCTGGAATTAGGACCTGTGCCTTAATTTTGGAGAGGATACAGCTACATCTTTTCAAAGTTGCCAGAAGGGTGAGAGAGCCTAGAGAGTTCCAATGCGGGAAGGATATCCCACATCTCTCTCTGTGTAACACAGGGTACCAATTCTGCCTTACCTGTATGTCCCTGAAATGAACCTTCTAATGCGGGAAGGATATCCCACATCTCTCACTGTGTAACACAGGGTACCAATTCTGCCTTACCTGTATGTCCCTGAAATGAACCTTCACCCATCTGAGTCTCTGTCTGCATGAACATGTGCGTGTGTGTGTGCATGTGTGTGTGTGCGTGCGTGCGTGTGTGTGTGTGCATGTGTGCATGTGTGTGCATGCGTGCATGTGTGTGTGTGCGTGCGTGTGTGCGTGTGTGTGTGTGTGTGTGTGTGTGTTTAGGGTAAATATTTCAAACTAAACGAGAAAAGCCTGAGTATCATTAAGTTAAAAGTAGAACAGAAATTTTCTTAAAGGCACTGGTTGTAGAGAACTCAATGCATTTCTTTATCAGGAGTCTGCAACAGAGCATCCATCTTTAGATAAGCAGTAAACAAGTGGTCGTCTCCAGTGTGGTCTTTTGCCTGATGCCATGATGGACAAGGACATGGATATGTAGTTCCGTGGCTTTCCTCCTCCACACCTTTCTTTTTCTATCTATTTATGGCCTATTTACTCTTCATTTAAAACACATTTGAAAAATCTGGGGTTTTTTTTTCATTTTAATTACACCTTTAATTTTTGTCCATTATTTTTGTTAATAAGCATAAACCCAGGCATCAAAAAGTATCTTTCTTCATGTTCTGCAACTTATTCAAACCTATGACAACTTCTCATAGATACTAATGGAAAATGCAATGTATGAATGAGTATGTGGTTATTGATGAATAGATGATTCATTATAGGAAAGTTATCTTCTTCAAGCAACTGTTCTCTTTCAAGGCAACAGACCAAAGACATCCTTCCATCTTAGGATTGATCACACCTCGGCATTTGCAGGATAGACCTTGTGTCTGGGCCAGCATCTTAGATCACCCTTCATATAAAGAAGTTTGTTTTCTTTACCTGGGTCCAGAAAGAAGAGAAGAACAAAGAGAAAGAAGGATGTCTTCATGACCTGGAGGACGGTGAGGGGTCAGCGCAGTGTCCGTGGGAAAGGAAAGCAACACCCACCTTTATACATTTCTCCAGACTAAGATTCTTGATCAGTGAAGCTTACAGAATGAGTGAACCCATGCCGTGCTACACGGAGCCTACCAGCCGCAGTGGGTGTCTCTCAACCTACAGCTGTTGCTTTTCTGGTTCTGGAAAGTTCCCAAGAAGGAAAATAGGCATGAGAAGAGAACAGAGGTGGGCGCAGATGGATGAGTGGGGACAGGGGTCATGGGAGACAAATCTGGAGTTCAGCCATTTTATTGCTAATCCTGACTGTGTTCCTTAATAGCGTCAGCTCTCGGGTGTAGTGAAAGTGTAAGCATATGACAGTTAAGAACGGGTGCGCTGTGGTCAGGTGGACTCTGAACTCCAAATTCAGTCTTTGCGAACTGCGCACGCTGGGCTAAGAACATGACCTAAGCATGCACACCATTGTTTGTTTTAAATTCTGGACTTTGCTATATGCAGCCCATTTCAAGTACTACTCATCTTACTTTAGCTGAGGGTTTCTTGTTTTTGTTTGTGTGTGTTCTTTTTTTTCAAATTTTGCACAATATATTTTGATCGTATTCTTTCCGCTCCCATAACTCCTCCCAGATCTTCCCCACTACCCACCCAACTTCGTGATGTCTGATTTGTGTCGGCCAACTACACTAAGCATAAGGCATGTCCTGGAGTGTGGTTGATACACCCATCACTCCAGTGACAAAAACTGATTCTCCCTCTTCCAGAGCTATCAATTACACACAAATAGCTTCTTGTCTAGGACTGAGCCTGGTGCCCGCCTCCCCTGCAGTGTGCTGGAGCTTTATTTGTTAAACTAGCGCTGGTCTTGTGCACACTTTCACAATCTCCGTGAGTTCATATGTGCATCAGTGTCAAAGGAGTTCCCTCAAAGTTGTCCACTACTGCAAGTGCTTATAATCGCCCCACGTCCTCTTCCACATAGATCCCTGAGCCTTGAGTGGAGGAGAGTGATAAGAATCCCAGTAATGGCTGACATTCCAGCCAGTCTTTTGCTCTCCACACATTGTCCAGTAGTGAAGGTCTATGTTAATTACCTTATAATGCAAGATTCTCTGGAAAGGGTTGAGTGATGCCCTGATCTGAGTATAGAGATGTCTTTAGGTGTCTTATTACTATGCTCATTTAGCAGAGTAGTTGTTCAAAGTTATATAGAAATATGAATGTAATAGTAATAATAATAATCAGACATTACGCTAAACACTTCTATGTTATATGCGATGTTTTCAAATGTCCCATGAGATAGATATCATAATTCTAACCCAATTTTAAGGATAAGGAGACTGAGGTTTGAAAAATTATGACCTATAAAAGGTGATCTTCTTGGTAGGTATCTAACTATATAGTCTGCATTTTTCATGTATGTGCCTCTCTCTTTCTGTGTGTGTGTGTGTGTGTGTGTGTGTGTGTGTGTGTGTGTGTGTGTGTAAAGGGAGAGAGAGAGAGGAGCCCTGAGAATTGAGTATAAGGTTTTGTGTGTGCTAGACAAACACTACAACCCTCTTTTTAAGTATTCTATGGTCTTGAGCTCACTGAATTCACTGAATATCCCAGGCAGGGTGTTAGCTCACGATGCTCCTGCCTCGGTCTCTGGAGTAACTTGTTGATAAACCTATGGCTCCAGGCCTGCCTCGGCCTCCAAGACTGAAGATCAGAAACATCATGTAACTATAAGCATCAGGGTGGCAGTAAACAGGACACCGTTCAGGGGACTGACATGAATGACATGATTATTCTTTTTGATACCCATGTTTTTAATTGTTAAAGATCGCTATGGTTATGACTGGCCTGTGATGTGATGTCTGACAGGAGCGGGATTCAAAGCAAACTCAGCAAAAGGGCTGTTACCCCTCACATTCTCCTGAAACATTTCCAGATACGGCAATGAGAAAGAGGAGGACAAGTGTGCACATCTGTGGATTGCCTCCCAGTCCCCGCCAGAGCTCTGTAAGAGGCATGAGCATTCAAAGTACTTCTGTGTTGGGACTATACCAGATCCCCGGGACATGCTGCAAAGGCAATACATGCGCTTTGGTTCTTAGGGAGATACGAAGAACCCTCGAGATTCTCTCCCCTAGATTCCCACAGTAGAAGAGTGCATTCTACCCTGTGATCTACCAGACTTGTACAAACACCCACTCCGCTCCACAGGCTGGCCGGGTGTTGGGGAATAAGACTTTGCAGGCTCCAAGGTTCTAACCCACTGCTCCAGTTCTTGATCTTGGCAAATGGAGCATGCAGTTGTGCTTTCTTCATTGATCCACATCACTGACCAAGAACAGAACCCATTACTTTCAAATATAAATGCCTTCTTGTCCCCTCAAAGAAATCCTGATCCTGTGTTCTGAAGAATCTTTGCTCAAACATGGCCCCGAGCAGAGTGATGTTTTCTTTTGTGTGTGCTTTGTTCTTCAGTGTAGCCCTATTGCCGTCAGGTAAAGAAAAGCTGATGGGACCTTGATGGGGTGATGGGGGCAGATCATGAAACCCGGTGACTCTTCCATGTATCACCCTGAAATTGACAGTAAATCTCTTCCCCAAAGAATTCTTGGAGCCGTACTCATGTATCCTAAGAACCACCTGAATAGAGCTTTAATTTTCATTTTGTTCTTGTTTTGTACATTGATCTTCCTGGCTCAGGAGTGCTGGTCTTGAGAATCAAATAAAGATGGCAGCCATATCATCGGTAGTCCCTCATGAGCCCTGTCACATGCAGGAGAAGTATTATAGAGTGTCATTTCTTGCCTTAATATTCTTTTCTAATATGTATTTTGTTTTAAATTTAGGGTCCTGGGCAGGACTTGAGTATTCCCAGTCATTTCCAGGAGGTAAATTATATTTCTTACCCATGCTTTCTCATTTTCTCTTGGGGATTCAGGCCTAGTTAGCTATCTTTGACTGATAAAACCAAGGATGTATAGACTGAGTTCTGGATTCTTGGCTCCATCTTCTCTTCTTCTTGTACCCATGATCCTATTTGTACTTTTCCATTGACTCTCCCATTCATTTACGGTGCTTAGCTTCAATCTCATCCACACCAATTGGCACTACCTAGAGATCACGGTTTCCCTTATCTTATAACCTAAATTTAATGAGGTCTGCACAGTTGTGTGCTGCTGGAGTAAGGAGGATGAAGTAAAATGGTTTTGTAATAAGTCATCTTTGTTATAGAAAAAGCTGCTTATAATGGTTAGTCACGAGCATTGGGTGTGCACAGGAGAGTCTCTTACATGGGAAGACGGCAAAATGTAAACACTAAATAAATATTGAAATATTCTTGGAAGGCTGGAGGAATAGCTCACTGGTTAGGAGTACTTGCTGTGCAACCATAAGGACCCAAATTGGACTCAAGCCCCCATGCAGCCTTGCTCGAACCTGTAACCCCAGCACTGTGGAAACAGAGCTAGGAGTCAATGGAAACTTTTTATCTGCCAGTCCAGCTAGAAAAAAATGGCTAAGATTCGAAGAGAGACCCTGCTTCAAGGCTGAGAGTGATAGAGGGAGAGGATACTCAATGCCTTCTTCTTGATTCGATGTGTGCACACACATGGATGCATGTACCTGTACATACATGTGCGTGTGTACCAAACACATAACTCCCTCTCTCTACATACACACACAACAATAATAGTAGTAATTTATTGAATAAATTCAGACGATATTCCAGAATGAGAAATATGGAAGTCATAGACTACCAACTTCTCCAGGTCTCAATATACACGCATCAATTATGCCATTTAATCATTACAGCACCCTTATAAGTAAATACTCTACAGCACAAACATCACACAGTTAATTTGTTTGGCCACAGAGCAAATTTAAAATGTGAACAGGTATTTCTGATATGTCCCTAAGCTGAATAAAGCTAGGTAAATTAAGAAATTTATTGAAAATATATGGCCATTACTAGGCCCACACGAGAATTGAGACTAAAATTCTTCATTCCAGCTTCAGGGATTTGAAACCCTAATCTATTCCTTGCCTTTTCACAAGCAATTTTTCGGTAGTATGAGATGCACATTTAATAGTTCTGAAAAAGAGATATTATTTTATCACTTATATTGGAACAATGAAAGACAATAAACACCTGGGGAACATGGATGATGTTTTTCTCTTGTTTTTAACTCTTCTCAGCTCCATACCATGGTAAACAGAAGCTATGCGGTAGTGCTTTTCTTATATGGGGTGTGTGTGTGTGCGTGTGTGTGTCTGTGTGTGGTGTTCATATACGTGTGGAGACCAAAGGTGGAACTTAGATGTCATTCCGCAGGATCCATCCATACCTTGTGTTTTGAAACTCAAGCTGACTACTGAGTTTCCAAGACTCAACTGTTTCTGCCTCCCCAGCTCAGATCCAGCCCAGGATGAGACTCGGGTCCTCATGCTTATCCAATAAACACTTGACCAATTGAGCCATTCCCCAAAGCCTCTGGGCGAATTGTAGAAAACGCTCTCCGTAACCATATGTGCGAACCATACACGTGTTCGGGTGGCCTAAGACATTCTTCCCATTCCCAACAAGTTCCAGCGAACATCTCAGCAGCTCTTTCCTGGCACAGGTGAATTTGCTGTGTGTGAGACCTGCCGGCTCGGTCGGGGGAAATGCAGGACGGTGTGCTTGGAAAGTGAGAAGATTGCAGGAAGGTGCAAGCTGAACTTCTTCTGCTGTCGGGAGAGGATCTGAATGCACCAACCATCGCTCCTCGGACCTTCCACTCGTACTGAATGAATGTCCAAAGCCAGAAGTTTTGTGGCTGAACTGGGCCCCAGTGAATGTAGTTCAGTGTCCGTCTCCCCTCACTTTTGTTTCTGTGCTTCCTTTTCATTTTAAGATGATAAAAATCAAAACAGCAATGAATACCTTCTACTCAATCTCTCATAAAGCAGGGAACAGGGTCACCACCCGAGAGTAGGTGTGGCTGAATGCAGAGCGGAGAGCCCATAGGCCAGTCTCCTTTCCTTTTGCTGTCACACACCAACTGAGTTCAGTTACTTTATAAAGAAAAGTTTATTTCACCCAGACTAAAGTCCAAGATCAGGTGACCTCAGGCATTTGACTGTAGAGAGGTCTCCCACGCTGTGTCAGATCATGGTGAGGCCATCCCGGAAGAAGAGCGTGGATGAGAGCAAATCCTGTGCTGCGTGAAAACAGGCCTGAGGGCAGGGAGGGGAGTGGGGGACATTTTCATTATTTCATAATAAACTCTCTGGGAACAGCCAGTGTCCCCATAAGAAACATGCTAACTCCTTCTAAGGACAGTGTCCCCAGCAACCTAATAAACTTACGCTAACGTACACATATTGTTTTGGTTTTACTTTTGTTGAAACAGAGTCTCAGTATGCGGTCCAGTTGGGCTGGTACTCACTCCATAACCCAAGCTGGCCGGAAACCCCCTGCATCCACTTCCTGAGCACTAGGGCACGTATGTGCCACCACAGCGGGATTCAAAGCCCTAATTGTAAAGTTTCCATCATATCTCACACTGAGGGCCAGGGTTAACACTTTAATCATCACAGGTGGCTCCCCATACTTTCATTCCTTGACTAGACATTTTCTTTTCTCCAAGATGGCTTCTCTGCATCTTTCTCACCATTTCGGCAGCTCCGTATTTCCCAGAAATTAATTTACATGGATTGATCTGTCAAGGGCTCGCTCTGTTGTGGATGTTGGTTTTTATTCTTCCAGATAACTGTACTGCACAAAACTACACTGGCTCCATTGCCTTTAGGACAAAATTAGAGTCTGTTGGTAGCACATAGCTGTGTAGGAAAATATACATGGCTTTCCCACCACTGATGGTTATGGAAGAAATTTTAAGAATATACCATCTTCAAAGACTTACATATGCATAAGCTTGAAAGATTTAACAATAATTTGCATATAATTGCTTGTTTATTTGTGAATTTCCCTAAGCAGACAGTTTCCCACTAGAAAATTAAACAACACTGATTTAAGAATCTAATGGAGAAAAGCAATCAAATTTGAGCTGGATTCTTCTATGAAATTTAATATCTATTGGGATAGCTAAAATTTATTCTAAACCTCAAATTTTTTTTGTAGCTTTTTCAAAATTTATTTTGCATGAGGATAAAGTGGGACTTCATCCTCCCCATCTTTAATATCTGCTCCAAATAAAACTTCAGGATTAAAACCACCAGCCCCTGGAACATTGTTGTTTTAATCTTTTTTTTTTTTTTCCCACTGTGTCCTTAAGAACAAGGGTAAAGCCCAGCTTTCCTGGTAAAAGTTGCCAGCGCAGAAGCCAGGACAAGCAGTGGGGGGCACAGCCCAGCCTCTTTCCTTTGCCTGTTCCCGATTCCATGGCCTGAGGCGGTGGTTTGCATTTTTAGGACAACAGCAGGCTGCGAGCAAGCAGGAGACCTCTCATCAGGCTTCCTAACTACGTACAAAATGACAAGAGAGAGCCTGTGGTCTCCAGCTTGGCTTATGGAGAGTCAAGTGCCAAGAAGCCGGTGCCTCTTTTTGCCACCCCCAACCTGTACTTCTGCGGAAAGGACCCACGGACTGTGCAGACTCCAGCTTTGCGATAGTCTAGGTCTAGCTGTCATGCACTACTCCCATGGGAAAACAGGCCCCTTCACCGTCTTGCTTGCTCCTGCTTGGTTTATACCTTTCCATAAAACCCAGGAAAGAGCTGTACTTGCCAGCTCACAGGAGTCCAGTTCTTCCCCTAATCAGAGCATCCCGGGACCGTCCCCTTTGCACACTATCCTGATCAGGGAAGACTGGCTCCCTTGGATTTGGGAGAGCATGCAGATAGCTGGGAATACAGATTCCAGGCCTCACAAGGTCAGCGCGCCTTTATAATCACCTCCCTAATTACAGACTCTATCCTCAATTATGACTGCCCTCTTGAAAAGAAATCCCACAGCCAGCCAGCTGCAGACATTCCCATCGAGAAGGAAGTGGACAGAGCTCCTGTTCGGAGGTCAGTGGAAGGAAAGACCTGTACGGAAACGGCTTCTGCACAGAAGCTGGTTCATCAGCAAAAGCCAGCATGAGGGAGGTTACTGTTGGTCTGCAGACCAGGGATGGTTACAGGATGCGGGGTAGGATGAAGAGATGCGGAGAATAGATTTTGACACTGTTTGACCTTTGTTAAGCGTGACCAGAGTAGTGAGTACTGAGTTAAAGAATGCCAAGTGAAAATGTAGTATGCTGATGACCAGCTTGGTCATGGAAGGGTTGGGGTGTCTCAGGGGGTCCAGCAAAGATTTAGCTAAAATTTTACTTTACTTTTGAGAATGCTGATGATTGAGGTTTGGGGAAACTCACAATTTAAATATAATGGAGAATGCTTACAAAATTATGTGGCCACAGCTAAGACATGTCACTTGATGTACCTTTCCCAAAGAAAGATGAATCTCTCTATATCAATAGAATGGCCAACAGCCTAATTTGTCCAGTGGTCACACAACTAAACCTGACTCAACATCCCAGAATAACAGAATGAAAGACTACTTAGCAAATGCATCTGAGAAGAAAATATTCTTTTTTTTTGTGCTTTTTTGAATTTTTATTGTGGTTATAGTTATTCTGGAGAGCTTTGGGATCACTTTTGTTATTCATTTATTTTTTTTTCTTTTAAACACTGCCTGGCCCATTAGTTTCAGCCTCTTAACCCATTTCTAATAATCTATGTAGCACCACGAGGTGCGCTTACCAGGAAAGATCTTAACCTGCATCTGTCTGGAGTGGGAGAACCATGGCGACTCCCTGACTCAGCTTCTTTCTCCCAGCATTCTGTTCTGTTTACTTCACCCACTTAAGGGTTGGCCTATCAAATGGGCCTAGGCAGTTTCTTTATTAATTAACTAACGAAAGCAACAGATCAGAAAGAAATCTCTTCCACATCATTTCCCCTTTTTCTGTTTAAACAAAAAAGAAGGCTTTCATTTTAATATAGTAAAATTACATATAGCAAAACAGTTATCAAGCAAGAATTACAGTTACAATATTTATATCTATTTTATCTTTTATCATAACTAAGGAAAACTATAACTATTTATTTATTCTTCAACTCCATCAAAGACTCCAGAAGGATATAATATTACCTAAATAAACAAGAAATAAGAAAACTCTAGAAATGACAGAGACATCTTGCTGCCTGGACAGCTAAACCTCAAATTTTAAAAGCCACTCTAGCAGGTATCAATCAGTTAACTAACAACCGGTGGCTAAAACTTATAAGCGTACATTATACATAAAATTTTAAGGCACAGGAAGAAGAGAGAGCATGGTTATAGGTTTTGTGGAAATGGGGACACTTGAGATGGAACACAAAGGGAAATGGAGAAAGCCTAAGAAGAAATGGAATAGAATATTCCAGGCAAGAAGGCAGGGTTCTTTCTCTGCCTTGTCTCCGATAAAAGACTTAGACGAAAACCTGATCTGCTGGCCCACATGATACTCAATGGAGCATGGAAAATGGTTCTCTCTTAAGGCCATTTCTGAGCAGCAGAATGGGTCTGACTCTGCTCTCACAATAAAGGAGCCAGGCTCTATGCCGTACCTCCTTCATCTCCTCTCCACTGATGGTTACAGACATGAGAATCCTTTCATTAGTTGTTGCTGGGCTCATTCTTCTTGTTCAACTTCACCCAGGTAAGAGAAAAATCTCTGGAGAGGTAGTGTTAGCACTTTAATAGGGCTCTGTCTTTGGAAAAGCAAGCTGACTTCAGGGAAACCTCACTGTTCATCTCTATAATAGCAATAATCTCAGGCTAAGCCAGTCACTGAGCTGAGAAACAGATGAATCCAATCCACTGTCTTAGATCCTTAGCAACTAGAGCACCTGGTCCATTTTTCTAGTCAGTCTACACGGGGATTTGGGCTTCTTCGTTCTTTTAGATCCCTCCCCTGGTTTTCAACTCTTCAACACACCTCAGCATATGACAAAGTAACTGCTTTAAAATGGAAAACATCATCATTTTCAATGTCTCAGTAGTGGTTCAAATACTTTGCCCTGAGAGTATTTCACACTTTCTTTGGGATCTCATAGATAATAAATAGAAAATGATCTCACTGAAACCCCTACCATCCTGACTTGTTTGCATTTGAGACTTGGGGCTTTAAACAGATCTGTTTGCTCAGTATAACCTGCAACCAAACGAATCTTCTGGCTAGTCCTCCTCAAATACCCTTGAAACATGCTACCTGTATTCTGAGGTCTCCCGTCCTTCCTTCATAAGCTCCCAAGTGTTTAATCCTCCTGAGTGTGTGTGTCATCCTCAGAAGCTCTAGTTAGAAAGAGATCCTGACAATGTGTCCTTACGACTTGGGAGACATTGTCCCCACCTGCATTTATTCACTTACACAAAACAAACAGAAAATTTTAATTAAAGCTGAACCTTTGTCCTTAATTTTCTAGAAACGTATTGGTCTATTATTTCTGTTAATAAAATATAGACTCCCTGAGAGAGTAATCATTCAAAACTTATGATGTATAAATAAGTAAATGAGTGAGAAAAATGCATACATGGAATTTCGCACAAAACAATACCCCTAAAAAGCCAGATTGAAAAATATAGAGAAACCGTGTTAGAAACAGAGCAAGCTATGTTCTCACTAGGAGGTGCAGAAAGGCCTCCTGGGGATGAACCTTTGGGAAGAGGCAGCCCTAGAACGAAGCAAGGAGCATCCGGGGAACAGGGCCTGTGCCGAGCTCTCCCTTACAAACCAGGTCCCTAGCTAGCTTGTCCTTTCTCTTTGCAGAGAGGTCAGACAATGGGTGCAGAATAGAAGAGTGATTCAATCTGTCCTCTCCGTCTCCTCCTACCTAGGGAGTTCTCTGTAGCCAGATCAGCACATAGACTTATGTGTTCACCGGCCCCAGAACTCAATCTATTTATATTGGAATTCCAGCAAGCAGGGGGCAGGGGAGATAGTGGTGAAAATTGTGACCACCATTGCCAAGGCAATGAGGTGGGGGTGAATTCAATGATCAGCAGAAGGCAGCACCCATGAAATGATTTGAACTCTGTGCTTACTTTTCTTTTCTGCCAGTGGCAATATTGAGAGCGTTGTTGGTTAACTTTACATCTGAAACTTAAAGATCTTACAATAAATGGGCACGGTTTACTGTTGATCTGCCTATAATATTTTGCACTGCTTTTAAATTTTGAACTAAATTGTACTGCTTTGTAAATTTTGATCTCTGTCCGACACTACTAGAAATTCAAAGAAGAAACATCGTGTTGGAAAGGTTTGTTTGTTGGAGTTGGAAAGAGACATTCTCTTTTGGTGTAAGCCGGCTGATTTGAGCAGAGGAATGACCTGCATCTTTTGGAAATGATGCCTGAAGGCATTGCATATGATTTACCAGGAGTCTGGCCTCCCCACCCCCAGATTTAATAATTAAGAATTTACTGTTTGGCCTAGTAGATTAGTAGATGACTAACAGCCAGCCACTCTCTTCCCCTAGGCAGTGCCTCGTTCTACAGACAGCATCTCTGTTCAAAGCTGGATGGTCACTGTGCGATTGACTGCCTTACCTTTGAAGAAAAGATCGGGGGCTGTCGGGCTGACTTAACACCACTGTGCTGCAGAAAAAGAAAGAAACACTGAATTCTCAACACCAGCTCCCAGGATTAAATTCTCAACACCAGCTCCCAGGATTAAATTCTCAACACCAGCTCCCAGGCAGAATCTCCCAACAAAGCTCTCTGGACTTTCTCGACACTATATCTCATAAACCCTATACACTCTGTTTCTGGCAAAAAAAAAAAAAAGAAAGAAAGAAAGAAAGAAAGAAAGAAAGAAAGAAAGAAAAAAGAAAAAGAAAGCCTATGGGCTCTTTTATTGGCTGATCAAAGTAAGAAAACATGTAAAAGCAGGTAAAGATGGAAGACCAACTGATTTCTCTAGTTCTCTCCCTAGCTTTAAGCAGATCTTTGACAATAGGTCTTTCTTCTCCCCCAGTGTCTGATAGATGTGATTAGAGGGAACTTGACCCTCGCAGTAAATGGCTACTTGCAAGACACCAGTGGCTTCAACTGTAGCCCTGTCACGTGTTACGAGGCATTGTTTAGGCTGCCTTCCATACGCTGTGTGGCCTAGAACACGGCGTTCCATAGAGGGTGGAGCTCACATCAAAATTCAGGTTGGCTGTAGAGTAGATATGTTTCTCACAGGCCACGTACAGAGAACTTTACATCACAGCCCATGCAGACAGCCCAGTTCTCAGAAGTCATGAGCACAGTGCCTCACAACGGATGAGCCCGCCTTCAGTTTCTGACTTACTACATTCATAACACAGACGTCTGGCTTTTGTGTCTCATGTCCTTACCATGCCCAGTAAATAGTGTTCTGTGTAAAAATGGGACAAGGAAGGCCGTTCACAAAGGTGGGACATGTCTTAGGAGGAAATGTGGTAAGCTGAGTGGAAGAACAGGTTAAAACAATCTTCTGAGAAAGAAAGCTCACGCCGCTGGTGAGCCCGTGCTCCATCTCCCACAAAAAAAAAAAAAAAAAAAAAAAGATAGCATGCTCCAGCCTGCCCTTTTCCCTAATTTGACAAAATTGGAAGGCCAGGGATTTGTGTACCCTGACATAAAATCAAGCTTGTTTGGTCTCTATTTAAAATAATGGCTTTACAAAACTTTAAATTTGGTGGTGTCAGACATCGAGTTAATAAGCATAGGCCCAATTTCAAGAAGTAAGTGTGGTTTACAAAATTCAACCTGATAATACCATTTGAATTTTTTCTTCACATTTTGATGGCTCCGTTTTGATTTTAGAATTCTCTAGGACAGTTTACATTTCAAAGGATCAGAAGATAGTCAATGGCGCCATCTAGTGGAAATGTCATTCAGTGAGCATTCCTTTGCATCCTGCTCTTTTTGGCACCCCAGCTCCACCCCCTTTTCTCTGTAAACTCTTTGAAGGCATTGCTGACTATCCTGTGATTTGATCCTGTCTGGACAGATATATCCTAATGAGCAAGTAACACACTTGGGAAAAGGGAAGAGTACTGTAATCCTCGATAGTAAAAGTCCGTTGGAGCCAAACGTGAACAATGGAAATGTTTAGAGTGATGCCCTTAACTGAGTTTATCTCTTAAATAATAAACTAGTATCCTAAAACAGGAGCTAAGTCCACACATAACTCCAATAGAGAATAATTACGAAGATAAAATCAGTTTTTAAAACCAACTTGTCTCTGTCAAGAGGTTCTATTTGAGAGTATTATGGGGACACAGGAGATAAGTCTATCAGTAATGTGACTGACTCCCTGCAAACACGAGGACATGAGTTCAATCATCAGTGCACACGTTTAAAAGCCAGGTATTTGCAGGCCCATAGCTGTAATCCCAGGTCTGGGGAGGTGGGGCTCAGTGACAGGTCAGGCGATCAGATGTGCCAGCAACACACCACTGAGAAACCCTGTCTCAAAAAGAGAGGGTAAGACCTGAAAAAATAACAGCTGAGATCTCTTCTGGCCACCACATGAATGTCACACGTGTTCTGATAAATATACACAAGCTATTGTGTGTGCACAGATACATACCACAAATACACACGCACCACACCACACACACGGGAATTTATGTGTGTCTGTGTGCAAATCCTGATAGCTATCATTGGGAAGAAAGTCCATAATTTTACCTTTAAAAAGTTTTATAAACAGCTGTGAAAGCTTGGTAAAAATAATCTTAAATTTTCCAAGCTAACTTTTCCCTGGAATTTAATGTATCTGAGAGTTTAATCATATAAAAATGCCAACGGGTGTGTTTTGTTAGTCAAGATGCCTTCCTCTTTGATCTTCTTAGGACAGCGCCTCTCATCTGCAGCGTGATTTCAGCCCACGTCGCCCAAGCTCCTATCTCTAATCCCCACTTGATGAAGCTCTGAAGACTGATGTGTGTATCACAGTGCTATTTTTCTTCTAAAATCTATTTTTATAGTTTCATACTTATATACAATGTATTATTATTATCATATTTTCCCCATCCTAGCACCCTCCTGCCTTCCCTTCAGAACCCATTCTCCCACACGCTAGTTCTCCAATGTTTACACCATTAGAAGTGATATCACTGCCTCTAATAACCGCCAACAGCCATTAGCTCCTCAGGAAGAGATGAGGCATCGTCTCCATCCAGGGTTGAAAGTTGGGGGTGTTACGGCTAGAGAAGCTCCATTTTATGCCAGGCATCCATCTTGATGCCCACCAGCCATTTGACTCTGACTCCAGGCCCTGGAAGATAAGTTCACAGGACATCCGACTCAGTAAACCCCATCTGAAAATGTACAGGCACGACTCTGCTTGTTATGATTTGACTAACTGCTTTTATTTTGCTTCTGTCAACTAGGGTAACTGAGCTTGAGTGCCCAGAGTTGCATACTTTGTGATAGTTGTAGCTAGATTTCAGGATGTCAATCAGGCCAAACGTTCAGCAACACAGCACTTGTTTGGACAGGGAGCTGTACAGATTTTCCTACCTCTCAGTGGTTGAGTGTAGGTGTGCACAGTGTCTGTGCGGCACCTGATGAGGTAGGTTGAGCCACTAGGGTTTGCAGTAAGTTATTGAACCATACATTGGTAGTGTAAATAACCCCATGTGATCCACAAGAAAAGCCCTGTATATACATAATTACTAGGATAATTTTAATGCTATAAGTTAATAATGTCACACCATTTGACAACAAGATAGTGATGAACATTGAGGTCATCTAAAGGATTCTTTTGAGGTTCTTTTTTTTTGTTTTTGTTGTTTTGTTTTATTTTTTGAAACAAGGCTTCTCTGTAGCTTTGGTGCCTGTCCTGGAACTAGCTCTTGTAGACCAGGCTGGCCTCGAACTCACAGAGATCCACCTGCCTCTGCCCCCCAAGTGCTGGGATTAAAGGCATGTGCCACCACCGCCCTGCATCTAAAGGATCTTATAGAGGTTCCCAATGGTGGCAATGGAAAGGCCAGGTGAACCTTTCGAGAGTGCTTCTCAGCGGCACACTTCAGAGTCCAGAGTCCACGCTGAGGTGATGCCGACGGCATGGATATGTGAGTCAAGCCATCGGAGGAGTTCTCAGTATTGCTGCCATTTGGATGGGAACGTGAGAGATTACAGTCATCTCCTTATCCATTCTGGAGGGGAACATCCGAATCCACGCAGATTCTTTCACCCCCCTAAAGCTGTTGGTGTAAGCATTGGAGCCATGTGTCTTAAGACAGAAGACATGTTTTATGACACTTGTGCTTTTCTCTAAATCTCTGATTCCTGCCAAGATGAGCTGTTTGGTAAGGGCTAAGAGAAAAGCTATTTCCATACAAGGTGGACAAAAGAATCAACTGCTGTTTAGTGGGGGGAGGGGACGACTGCAATTCAGGTGAAAAAAAGAAAGACTCAAGGAAGCCATCCACCGTTTCACTAGCTGCAAAGTTGAGTGTAAGTCAGTTTGGGTAAGCAACTCCACGGCTGAGTAGAAATCCAGAATTAATAACTAATTCTGGCAGGTGAACTAGTTTCAATATACATGAGGTAAATTTTCAGGAAATACTTCAACTTGAATATTATTCAATATCAATTATCCTTCAAGACAAAAGAAAGGACAGAGAAGCCGGGCAGTGGTGGCGCAGGCCTTTAATCCTAGCACTTGGGAGGCAGAGGCAGGCTGATTTCTGTGAGTTCGAGACCAGCCTGGTCTACAAGAGCTAGTTCCAGGATAGGCTCCAGAGCTACAGAGAAACCCTGTCTCAAAAATAAATAAATAAGCTATCCTTCTTGGGCTCTCTGCAGGGCCTCCACTCCCTGCATACCTCCTCTTTCTTCCTAGCCCACCCAGCTCCCATTCAGAACCCTCCCCACTTCGGCCCCACTGTCCTCTTTCTGCACATAACATCACCCAGCCCAGCCTGTCTGGGCACTGGGTCTGAATCCTCGGGGCACTCAAGCGGGCGGGACTCCCTTTGTTTCTATTGCCTGCCTGCACCAAGCAGGGTAGGCACTTTGTTTGCAACCTGCCCACCAGCACGGAGGCCTGATCTCTGGGCGCCAGGAGAGACAGCATTGGAGAGAGCCAACGTTGGGGAGAGCCAGCGTTGGGTAGGCAAGGAGACCTAAAAGAAGATTCATAAGGGAGCATTTGGAAGAAGAGATGGGCAGACGCCAAGGCAAGAATTCGCCCAACAAGCTGAAAAGCAACATGAAGCCACCAGAAACAAGCGACCTCACAACGGGAGGACATGAACACCTTAATCAAGAAGAAGTAGAAAAGACTGACTTCATGAAAGTGATTGATGCCCTTAAACAGCATGTAAAAAACGCCCTTATAGAAATGGATGAGAAATATAACAGAAAGTTTGAAGAATTGAATAAATCAGTGAATGATACCCTAGAAAACCAAGGAAAAACAATCAAACAGATAATGGAAACAGTTCAAGACTTGAAAACTGAACTGGAGGCAAAGAAGAAAACACAAACAGAGGGCCGGCTGGACATGGAAAATTTACATAAACAAACAGAGTCTACAGAAACAAACATAACCAACAGAATACAAGAGTTAGAAGAAAGAATCTCAGATTCTGAAGATACCATAGAGAAAATAAACACACTGATCAAAGAAAACAGCAAGTCCAACAAACTCTCGTCACAAAATATTCAGGAAATATGGGACACAATAAAAAGACCAAACCTAAGAATAATAGGAGTAGAAGAAGGAGAAGAAGTGCAACT